TTTGCCAAGTACAAAGGACATATCAATTGCATGACAGTTTTAAGGTATTTATTTTAAAGGCACACTCTTTAAAAACATATGTGGCAGACAAAAAAAAATGTACATGGCTATCAATATGTTAATTTAATTTCATGTATATGATGATTATGATAACTTCACTCAATGAACCAGACTGGTACTTTTGGAAGAATAAATTCTAATATAGCCCCAGAAAAAAAAGACATGTAACATTACTTTTATAACATATTGTCTTCATTCTTGTTGCATGCGGAACTAATAGTGCCATGTTTATCAAATACTTAATAACTGAAGTGACACATTTAAAAGCTTGCTATGGTCCACTGTCTGGAGTGTTCTTACCAAACTAGAACTGTTACCAGAATGTGACCTGCCAAACCCCAGATGTCGTGTTGTCATGACTTTTAAATGTTTAATTGCTTGAAGTTGAAGGGGCACTATAATCACCAAAACCACTATAGCTTGATGTTGTTGTTCTGGTGAGTATAGTTTGTCCCTGCATACTTTTTAATGTAAAGTCTGCCTTTTCAGAGAAAAAGCAGTTTTTACATTGCTGACTTGGAATACCTCTAGTAAAAGTCACTCAGAGGTGCTTCCTAGTCTATTGCTGCACAGTGAGCGGCACTGACATTCAGCGTCTCCACACTTTGCATTGAGATGCTGAGCGTTCTCCATAGATATGCATTGATTCAATGCATCTCCTTGAGGCGGTGCTGACTGGCGCAGTGTAGCTTTTGCCACGCATACACAATAGCTGAGATCATCAAACTTGATGATCTGAGCCAATCCAATGCATTTCCATGTGTTTTCAGCCATGGTAGTGGAGCCAGCTGTGGTGAGACCGGCGAGGCATGAAAGAAAAGGTGAATAAAATCACATCTCCAATGGGAAACAAGGAAAGCTGGAAACCTAAATAGTTAGTTTAACCTTACAGTGTCAGGAATATGTGTTTGTTCTTCCTGACACTATAGTGTTGCTTTAATGTTTTTGAATATTTTTTTCCTCAGGTTTTGTTCAATTGTACAAAAATAGTTCAATATAGATCATGCAGAAGAGAGTATAGCATGTTAAACATAGTAAGATCATGAGTACTAAAGACAGCAACAGAAAAATAATGACAAAACAATTAGAGTGAAAAGGGAACCCAGCATATTACACATATAGCCAGTTCTGTATGTACAGCGAGGCTCCCCCTTAAGAGCCCTGGCACATGCCTTGTTTGTCTCTTTCATGGGGGACCCAAAAGCTGGCCAGCTGGCCACCTCAGGGTCCCCCAGAGGCATGTGGCTGCCAATAGTGTGGGTGGCGAAGGAGAGCCGTTCTGTGAGCTTTTCCTGCTCAGCTCTCTCGTACGCACAGAGGTGTTGCCGGAGACGGAATATGACGCAATTTCGGCTCCCGGCATCACTCAGTGGCGCACAAAGGAGCTGAGCAAGAAGATTACAGCTCCTTCGTTGCCTGCAGTGACCGGCAGCCCATCCACTCTGCTGCACAGGATCCCAGCAGCTTACAGACAGCCTAGGAGGCAGAAGCAGCCAGCCCATCAGCCCCTCTGGCTTAAATGAATACAACAAATAAATAATTTGTGAGTGTGTGAAGCAATGTTTGTGAGTGTGAATCTGTCAGTATCAGGGTGTGTGTACCAGTGTATGTCTGTTAGTGAGTGAGTGTGTCTGTCAGTGAATGTTTGTGTGTCTGTTACTGAGTGTGTGTCTGCCCGTGAGTGTATGTGTCTGTATGTGTGTTTCTGAGTGATTGTTTGTGTCTGTCAGTGTGTCAAATCAGTGAAGATATGTGTGTCAAACTAGTAAATGTGTGTTTATGTCAGTGTATGTGTATCTCAGAGTGTCTGCCTGTCACTGAGTGGCAGTGGCAGTGTATGTGTTGGTCTTAAATAGGAAGAGGTGCGGCCTTGATAGGAAGGGTGGGGTAAATTTAGATAAGGGCGAGTGCCTAGGGCAGCTCGAATCCAAAATACACCACTACATTTAGCATTGTGTCATGCAAAGAGTAGTCTCTGATTTGATTAGGGATGTGATAATATCTACTTTTTTGTCATATGCCAAAAATGTTTTTAAATGTTATTGGGACTTAAGCTTAAGGAAGTGTTCTATCTACAAGGACATTGGCCTTTAGAGATACATGTATTGAGTAGATCTTTTCCCTGTTCATACTTGAGTTTTGCAAACAAATGTGTTAAGTTTTTAGTTTTTTTAACAAAAATAGTATTCTCATATGAATTGACATATTTTTCTAAAATGTATACCATGTGTTACTATTTAAATGCATCCAAGATTAGTAAGTAATAGAACATATCTACTGCATAACACCAACTGCTTATGAAGAGAAGAAACAATATTTTGCTGTCAGCTATGCTACTCAACCTCAATTAAATCATCTCAAATCTGTAGTCTATGCTTCACTTAATGTGTCTGCAACATATTTCGTAACTCTCTGATAAACATTTGTGGACCTGCAATAGCAAAGTACCGCCAAAAATATTTTAAACACACAACCCGTGCATCTGGGGTTATCATGCTGTGTGTTCTAACCAGTGAGTATCCCCGCTAGCTGATTGACAACCAATGGATACAGTAAGACACACAAGGTGGTGGGAGGAGGACTTATTTCTCTCTATAATTAAACAAATACATAAAAACTTATTGTAACAGACCCTCTGTCTTGGATCGTTAAACACTGTGAAAGGCCGTTCGTTTGACCCGTTCATTTAAAATTACCTAGCCTTCTGTTATATTAAAAGCCGTTCGAATTACGAATTTTCTACCGAACGACTGACCACCCAGGACAGAAGTGTGGCCCTCATTAACCTCCCTGACTCGTGTAACACCTCCAAAAACTGTGAAAACCACAGCGTTCTAATTGATATACAGGGTGGTCGGCGTTCGTCTATGCGAACACGTGACGCACTCAGCAGTGTTTGGTCGTCGAACGTGTGGAACTATTTTCGGCTACTTTTCCCACGAACACCACTGAAACGTCTACCTTCTGTGCTTGTACTGGATTGGTTGCAAAATATGCAGTTTCAGTGCCCCACAAGGTCCATGTGGGTGGTAACCTTGTGGAGAAATTTGTATAAAAGGAGCAATAAAGCCTCAGTGCTGTCCGTTCTTCTTCACCCTCAATCTAGAGTCCTGTCTCTTATTGGGGGTAACCAGCTATACAGGTAATCACACTAGCTCTTTTAAGAGCTTCCTCACCTGGATGACTACTGGATGCTGAGAATACCCCTCACTCATCGGGAGAAGGACACCCTCCAGCGTTGGAAACCCCTCTACTCTCTGGGGTAACTGCTACACAGATTAGGGCCCAAAATATCAGTTACTTAATTCTTATTGAAACCTCCATATTGACTGATAAACTTGGCATCCATGCAAACAATATGGCACTGAATTAGGATTTTTTTCTGGTATCAAAAATAGCCTTTTATAATTTTGCTGTCATTCCCTAAGACTAGTAATCACGTTGCTCAGAAATAACAGAAGAGCTTCCTTGTATATAACCCTACTTGTTTCAAGATATGTTGCCACATTTCAGAGGCATTGTGGTTTTGGCAAGTTTTTGACTTGGTGCTGGAGATGACCACAGCTTCTCAGTATGGACTAACTAGTTCCACTTACCATTGCCAATTATGAGCCTTGGCTGCACCTCACTAAAGGCTCAGAATACTTATAGAACTGGCCTTCTCATCACCCACAACATTTTTAAATTGTTTCCTTACATGGCAAGGTCCTCAAAGGGGGACATATTGTCACCCCCAACACTCTTCTTAGCTTACTTTTTCCTTGGTCTTTTTGTTTAGTTTTTTTTGTTTGTTTTTTAAAATTCTTTATTTTGTCATGCATAGGTTATACAGGATACAGTTACGCTAGCCACAACAGCTAATGCCAGGGTGTACATAAACATATATAAACAGACCAAGTAATTTATCATAATGTTGAACAGACCAATATTGTTTGACTCGTTGTGAATGTTGAGGAGACAAGCTTATGCACTAATAATCCTATAGCGTAACAAAGGTGACTTATTGTATTTTGGTGCATATTTAGTAAGTTTGTTTTCTCTTTATGGATGGTGTTTGATCTGGGAGAAATGTGTTTGATCTACTCCCATATCTTAATTTTTTTGTATGTTTATTTATGTATATATGTGATATATGAAATTCAATCAAAAGAAATGAAAAAAAAAATAAACCGTTGTATGGCAAAGATATTCTGTGCACACTTTTTATTTTAATAGGAGTAGACAGTAGTGTGGTGCGAGTCTTAGCGTGTGTGTAAGAGGTTGCATGGATTATTCTACTGACTATGTCAATAAAAGTGTAGGAGACGCTTAATGAGTGAGTGTATGTAGATTCCTGAATAGGCAGACGTTTCATAAAACTCGATTGTAGTAGTAAAGGAGTTCTTGAGTTGCGCTCACCACAATACAAACAATGCAGAAGACACATGTCAGTTGCCAAGACAAGCTGGTAAAATCAAATATATTGTTATTCTAGGTGGTTAGGGACGTGCTAAGCTGTTATGCCTGTTGCGGTAATGCTTAAACAAAGATACCACCATGTCATAGTCGTTAATAAGAAAAAAGCATAGGATTATTCTAGGAGTAGTGAGTCTGCGTTTTCCACAGTACAAATAATGCATGATGAACATGCTAGTCATTAAAAACAGGCCGGTACGGTTAAATATACTAGTATGCTAGGTGATTAGGAACATTCTAAGCTGCTGTGCCTGTCGCATCGGTGTCTAAACATATCGGAAACAAGCTACGTGAACTAGTGTAAAATAAACATGCAGAGCTAAGTACTGGTTAATGTTAAGCTTAGTGTCCATGGCGATCTGAAGTCCTCTTGAGTGGCATGCCGCCCAGTTAACTCTACGTTCTCGCTTTTGTGACATGGTAGGGGTAGTATTATGGCATTGTCCTGCTGCAGCGAGTTCATGAGGCCTCCAACAGAGACTCTTTCATCCGATGCCCTCTTTATGAAAACGGTATGTGCCCGTCAAGGAGCTTCGGCGGTCTGCCGCTCTGCAGATGCCAGTGAGGATGTCCTTCCAGCCCCAGGCTGGTGTGCAGGCCTGCATCTCTTGGCCACAAACTCGGCTTCCTCTGGAGCCCGAGTTTTCTCCACGTGCGTGAGTGACGGAGGGGCTGGTGGTCTTCTGTCGCTTGCGACGCTTGCACCTCTGTGAAAGTGGACGATGCTTCCGGCTTTCTGCCCTGTGTCCTGCAGCCTGAGTGGGCCAGGTACAGTGTAGGTGAGTAGATGTGGTGGCGTTGTGCCCAAAAGGTTTTTCCCTCACTCTCCGCCGCCTGCGGCTCCGCTTACCTGTTGTCGGTGGTTCAGGCATCCCGGTTCGTGCTGCTAGTTGCTGTTACTTGAGTTTGTCCCAGAAGCGGTTAAGAATAGCCTCTAGGCACTCTATTCTAATGACGAAACTGTTTAGCCATATAGGTGATGGAAGCGCACTCAACCCTTTGTCCTGGAATCCTGGGTGCTGTACTGGACAAGTCCCAGTACCAAAGGGGACCAAATATGAAATTTGAATATAGAGAATAATCCATGCACTCCAATGAATTCCAAACAATGCAGTTTTATTGGAACCAGAGAACAGAAAGCAACATTTCAACCGCTTAGCTTGACAAAGCCCTAAGGGGTTGAAATTAAACTGTTTAGCCAAGCTGATGATTGTTATAACTTTATAAAACTGTGCAATTCCTCATGCCACTGTTCAATTTAAGTACATACCCAGACACGCTGTTGTGGCGTAAGTCACTGCTTTGTATAACATGCACAACAAAAATAAAGAATTAAAAAAATAAAAGAATAGCCTCTAGACCCTGCAACGGGTCATAACGTTGCTTTTGTGTCAGCTGTATATTCGCCATGTGGATTGTGCTGCCGGCCGCCATCTTAGGTGCACCATGTGAGGGGCTGCATCTCTGTGTTTCAAGTTCATGCTTGTGGTGTGATCTCGGGTGGCTGCTACAGGTGTTGAGGACCGGGATGACCCTCGACGGTTTTAGGGAGTGGGGAAGGAGGCGAGTGCACTGAGGAGTCTGTGCATGGCTTTGCCATCGAGGAGAGTGGCCGTCTCTCCCTGGCTCGGTCGCAGGTAGGCCTCATATGCTTTTTGCGGGTTCGCTATATATATGTGCAGCCGCGGGCCCCCCGGCTCCCTGTACTTGCAGAGGGGGCCCAGCAGACTGCAAGTGTACTTCCAAGCTCTTCCCTCTCTCTAGAGTGAAGAGCTTAAAGTCTGCTGGGCCCCCTCTGCAAGTACAGGGAGCCGGGTGGCCCCACAATGCCACCGGACCACCAGGGATCATGGAATCTCCCCCCTCCCTGAACCAGGTAAGAAGCATGGAGGGAGGAATAACTTTTATAATTTTTTCACAATTTTACTTTTATATTTTTATCACAATCTGCAACATGTGTTGGTGCAGTTTTCTACATACTATGACACCGTGTGTAATACAGATTAACAAAAAAAAAGGGCACTGAAATATGGAGGTCTTTGTTGGGGCAGTCACTTTTTTTAATTACACACTTAACATACACACTAACACACACTCTGCATTCACTACACTAACACACACACTGCATTCACTACACTGACACACACTGCATTCACTACACTAACACACACATTGCATTCACTACACTAACACACACACTGCATTCACTACACTAACACACACTCTGCATTCATTACACTGACACACACTCTGCATTCACTACACTGACACACACTCTGCATTCATTACACTGACACACTCTGCAGTCACTACACTGACACACTCTGCATTCACTACACTGACACACACTCTGCATTAATTACACTGACACACACTCTGCATTAATTACACTGACACACACTCTGCATTCACTACACTAACACACACTCTGCATTCACTACACTAACACACACTCTGCATTTATTATACTGACACACACTGCATTCACTACACTGACACACACTCTGCATTCACTACACTAACACACTTTGCATCCACTCCACTAACACACACTCCGCATTCGTTACACTAACACACACTCTGCATTCACTACACTAACACACACTCTGTATTCACTCCACTAATACACACTCTGCATCCACTCCACTAACACACACTCTGCATCCACTCCACTAACACACACTCTGCATTCACTACACTAACTCACACTCTGCATCCACTCCACTAACACACAATCTGCATTCATTACACTAACACACACTCTGCATTCACTATACACAGACACTGCGTCTAATACACACACTATATCCACTCCAGACACTGCATCCACTAAACACATTTCATCTAGTACACACAAACACTACATCCACTACACAAACACACTCTGCGTTCACTATACACACTGCATCCACTACACAAACACGCACTCTGCATTCACTGCACAAAAAGTATCTAATGCACACAAACACTACATCCATTACACACAGTCTAATTCACTTCCACTATACACACCATATTCAGTCCTGCATCATTGCCAGCGGACTAGGTAGGAGTCCTGTGGGCGGACTCGTGGGCGGGTGCCCAGACCTTGTGCTTTGTCAGGGGCCCCAACATTTCTGATGGCACCCCTGGGTTCCTGGGCAGTGTGTGTCTCGATTGTAATATCATTCGATGCCCCCAGGTTTCCCCGACCCGCCTTGTGCCCTCTGGCTGGTGAACGTGCCGATTTTCTGGGTATTTACCCCTAATTATGTCCCTTTTTGCAGGAGGGAAGTTGCACTGATATTATTTGGTTTTATTGAACGGCTGTTTTACACTACCTACAGCTTTAGTTGTTTTTGTTTTCAGCAAACTGCTTTAGTATCTAGCTTACCCTGCCTATTACCCTAATTGCAACAGTTACTGAGTTTTGGATACAAGATATATTATAATTATCCAAAGATATAGTTTATGTTTTTGTCTGTTTTAATTGCATTATTATTATTTGTAAGCAGCACAATCAAATAATACATTCTTAAACGTATACTGTACTCATCTGGCTTCCTCAGCCTGCCCCATGTAGCATGACCTCTTGCACTGGACATCACAAAAGTCATCCACACAAATAAAACTTTCTTTTCAAGGATACATTAATTTAAGTTCCTCAATGCAATAGCCATTTGAGAAACAAACCTGGTGAATATTTTTTATATTTCTCATATCCTGCTTGAATAATGCACCCACAAATTATGGAATTTCAAGGGTATATGCAAGGCCTAGAAACCATATAATTCCTTTACAGTTAGCACCACTTTAGAATTATTAAATTGCACCTAAATACTAACTAGGATTTAGGTAGAACTCTATGTACCACTTGAGAAATGGGCAATCAAAGGAAGAACTAGAAATCTGAAAACAGACCAGAACAATGAAAATAAATTAAAGGGACACTATAGTCACTAAACAACTACAGCTTAGTGTAGTTGTGCTGGTTTCTATAGCCTGTCCCTGCACTGTCTTTTTAGAGAAAAGGTAGTGTGTACATTGCTGCTTAGTGACACCTGTAGTGGCCATTACTCAGACTGCCACTAGAGGTGGTTTCTGGGTCAGTGCTGCTCTGTGTGCAGTACTGATGTTCAGCATCGCCACACTCTGCATTGAGACGCTGAACATTCCACATAAAAATGCACTGAATCAATTCATCTCTATGAGAATATGCTGATTGCACAGTGCAGCGTTTTGCCGGGAATGAAACCATAGACAAGAGCAAATCAAATAAGTAATTAAAATGTCATATTTATCTTAGCCCGAGGACCTTTTACTACATACTGTATGTGTGCAGAGTATTTTTTTTTTTTCCATAATGACTTCATTAAATAAGATGTTTGATTTTGTCTTCAGATCTTCATGTTGGATGAATTTAAAGGTTTGGGAGCAGGTTCTAACATGAAGCTGGGGTTTATGTAGTTTTCCAAGGACAATGAATATATCTGGTTTATTCCGTTCAGGTATTCACATATATTTTTTATACTTATATTTTAATACTGCATGCTACAAAACTATATGGAAATCATCAAATCAACATTTTCTTTATCGTCTGTAATATACGAGAAACTTTAAACTTAATGAACAACATTACAAGAATAATTATGTTTGAGGTTATTATATTTAGGTAATTGCTAGTGACATGAACTGTGTTCTTTTACATTTTGTTTTAATAAAAGCTCAGGTGTACATTTATATCACATGTACAATGAAATCATATGCAAAACCAGGAACCCAAGCTAAATATGCACATAATCACTGACATTTGTCTCTTTATCAGATTTCCCTACACATTTCTTCAGACTCCCTTAGCAATAGAACATTATTTTCAAACACACCAAATCTTATGAATATTGGCTTATGAACTTAAAGGGACACGCCAGACCCCCTAAAGCAGTTTAGCTTGCAGAAGTGCTTTAAGTGTGAAGAGTGTGTCCCCTTTTTATTTTACAAAAATGCAGATTACAATAGAAATGTACCCTTAATATTTTTTTTATATATATATAAATTAACCTGGTAAATAATTCAATGCAGGCATATTTTTATTGGGGTATGTCTGCTAAATAGACTATTAAATCTACTAAATTGACTACTAAATCACTATTTAGTAGATATACCTCAATAAAAATATGCCTGCATTTAATTATTTACCAGCTTAACTGTATTTTATTATTCGGCCAGTGGAGTTTAATTATTGGTAATGGGTTTGTTCCTTTATGATCATAGGCCAAGTTTTAGTGTACAAGCCAGGAGCCGGAAACTTTAAATGGTATCTTGACATAGCTGAATTCCACTAACATCTACAATTGTTTTAGACACAAAATGAGAATGGTGAAACATATTCACTCGATGCCCCACCCTGGGAAGGGGATTGGAAGTAGGCTTTCACATTGAACCTATAGCTTCTTTGTAGCTCAACCACTACAATATGTTTTAGTGATCATGCTGCTTAGACGGTCCCTTTAATGTTTGACAGATACTATGGCTTCTGTAGGATGGTCACATACATTAAATTAATACCAGCAAACATAAGGCAAAGGTATAAAAATAGTAATGAACAGGAAAGGAAATTCATTACTTGCTGTACTGTTTGTGATCTAAAGTGACTGGATTGAAAGAAACAAATGCTCATACAATTGCAAAGACAGAAATGCTCAAAATCGGATAAAAATAAAATGCTAAATTGGCTTTTGTGACATAAAATTAAGTGGTTTGCCAGTCTTTTAGCTACTCAAATAATAACCTACAAAATTCTATTAACCTGCAAAATTAAGCCCTGTGCCAAAACTTCCATTGCAGCAGTTAGTACATATCCTCCCCAATACAAACAATAAAAACCAAAGAAAAA